CATGTAACTAAAAAAAACAATCTATTCTACAATGACATAAAGGGAAGTAGCCCAGCTTCCTTAGCACATGTATTATCATTTGGGATGAGAAATCAAGCTCCAGTGGATGTACCTCTGAGAGAAAGAAAAATGTTATCAGGCTGTGGCTGGATCTCCCCTGCTGCAATCAAGGCTAACGGGACATGAAGACTTTCCCATAGGAAAGAACCTTATGAAAACTGAGTAAAATTTTGGTGCCTTCTGAACAAGAGAATTTGGAGGCAGGTAATTATCCCTGGTCAACCTTGGCCAAACTGACTTTAGGTAATAAAGACTATTATTTTCCACATGCCTGAGAAAATACTATATTAAATTAATGCTATCTCTGACTGCAGAAGGATGCTTGCTCTTCTCTCTGCCACACACCTGATGCTGAGACTATGGCAAACTCCACATCACAGTTCATCTGCTCATCAAAACTGGCAAGTACCCCTCTGTGTTCTCTTCACATCTCTTTGATAGAAAGAACAGGAAACAAAATGACCAACACAAACATGGGGCAAAAAAATCACCTAAACCAAGTAATATTAAAATAATTTTAAAATATCTTTAAAAAATTAAATCCTATATCCCTAATTCTCCAGCTGAATGCATCATGCCCAGAATTAGCAGCTAAGATAAAGGAATTTTAGTATATTCAATGTTTTCATTCTTTCCCAGCTCCTATTACTGATAGGTTACATAGCTATTTCAGTTCTATCCAAAGGAGCAGGCTTGTAGCCCACAGAAACCTGTAAGTCTCAAAAAAACCCCTCCTTCCCATCCCCTTACACTCCTCCCTCTTTTAAATCTCATCATCTCAATTGCCTGAAGGCTGGCTTCAGGTTTCTTAATATTCATATTATGACAATATTTCAGTGAGACAATTGTTTTGCCCCCAAATGCACCACAAATTGTCCTGGGATAACTGAGAACTCTGCCTGGTAGAAATCAAGCGAGCGTCGCACAAGTCACTGAAACATTTCTCACCTCACAGGCAAAAATGTGGGAGGAAGGGTTTACCTAACACACACTCTGGGAAGTTTTCCAAAATCTTTATTTAAGAAGTGTTTAGTCTGACACAGTTCCCTCCAAAGCCCTGGAGAGATGCTAGAAATATCCACGTGAGGATAACGCATGAATGAAAGAGACGTACTAAAATCCTGTTCCAAACTATGGTTCATGTCACTTTGTTTCAAGGCAGATCTGCACTGCAACCACGGAAACTCCAACCCAGCACTGCTGTCTTCCTCAGCACATTCCTGCTGGATGACACTTTACATGAACATGTGTGAAATTCGTACCAGAAGACTCATCTGTCACACATCTCTCTCCTACACCCAGCATTGTCGTGCATTTTCTTCTGATGTTCTTCTTTTAAAAAAACCAAAAAGCACTGCTGATGACAGCACACTAGATGAGAAGGATATTTGATCTGATTTAATATAGCAATTGCTTGCTCAGCTATTTTATTAATTGAGACCATTAGCAATAACTGTAACCAGTTACTGGAAATAATTTGTTGCCTGAAATTTGCAACCAAGAAGTTGCAGCCCTGCTACTGGTCCATTAGGTCCTTCTCAGCTGTAGCCCAGAAAAGCTTTGTTCTTCAAATTACCAAACTAACAAAGCATCTCCACACAAAAAAACCCAAAAAACAAAACAAAAAAAAAAACCAAAAAAAAAAAAACAACCCACACACAGAAAAAGCAGCTCCTGACTCTTTGCAGTTTTTCTTTGCATCCAGCTGCTCCACAGCATGTCCAGCCCAGCCTGACAGCAATCAGGACCACATCTCCTCTGCAGCACTCCACGTTTCATTGCAATTTCATTCTGGATCAAGTCTTTTGATTGCAACTCCTGGCTCACCCTAGAAGTTCTCAGGATCAATCCAGCCATTACCATCCAATACATAAATCAAGCTTTCCGTGCTTTTGCAGTAACTTCTTCAGACCTCCAAATAAATCAGGTACACTATGTATGATTCTTGTTTACACATACAAACTTTCCCTTACTATAAATTCAGATCAGAGCACTGTCATGTTGCCCAGCCATGTTGCTCCTGCATTGTGAAAGCAAACAATACCAGTGGAAGGAGTGGTTCCACCAACAGCCCAATTCCTAAATTTAGTACCCCTGTCTCTTTTCAGTAACAGCTTTTTAAGGGCAAGCTGCGCTATCTCACAAAGATTCTTCACCACACACCCCCCTCCACCGTGCACAGGGAATCCTGACAGCATTGAGCCCAGCAGACACCAATACCCCCAGGGAGTGCTCTGGGGCTACTTCATGCACAGGTTCAAGAGGTAGAGAAATCTGCCCTCTGGATCTTGCCTCTGAGGAAAACTAGTAGAGGCAGCAGGTCTGGAGAAACATAAGAAATACTGATGTCTTCAATCAGTAATCACGAAAGGGAAGAGTAACAGTGCCCTCAGTTCTCTCTTCCCCAATACAGAGTTGTGGTGTCACATCCAACCAAATCCAAAGCTTTTTCCTTCCTTTTGTAATAAAATATATCAATTTTTCCCTTAAAGTAAAATACCAAATAAATAAACTTTCTACTTTACTGTTTCTTAAAAAATTAAATTTACAGAAGTTTAAAACCACACAAAGTCATCTAAATCTGTATATTCCCATCTCAAAATGTCATCTCTTTCAAAATGTTTAAATGCTAAAACATTGGTTCTGCATGTATAGCAAACAGACTGAAAGAGAATGACATGTCAGCAATCTGCCTGTTATCCAACATGACAACTATGTTTCTCACTCAGAATAACCAGTCTCTCAGAAGAGTAATGTATATCACAGATTCTCTCAGTTTTCAGTAGTACACTATCTCCATTTCTCCAGGGACATTATCTTTGAACAACATATCACTCTGCCCTTGGAACCATCAAACTGACATTTGACAAAACCGTAGATGGCTTGTAGGTTAAATTTAAAACTCCATTGAACCTTCCCTTGCACATCTCATTGAGCTCTGGCCTCCCACGGAAACAATTAGGAAGGCCAACATCAGAGCTGGTGGGAAACTTTCTAGCACTGGTCAGTACAACTCACATGGAAAAAAATATCCATCTCCTGCTTATCTGCAAGAAGAAAAGTGTGGGGAGTGAATAACCTGCTGTAACCAAAAGGTGTGGGGACGTCACTGTACTGATGGCTGTATTCAGAATATTTTTAACTTGTACAGGCAGGTGCATGTGAGGGCATTATGCCAATGCATTTGATTTTCTTGTTTGTCATCAGTATCAATAGCCTACCCCATGTTTTAAAACACATGCAGCTTTTTTCTAACCATAAAAACCTCATAGCAATATGGATGACTAAAATGACACCTAAGACCATACAGCAGAAATTATGGAAATTAATAGATCTGTTTCTTAAATTAAGTTTTGACCTTAATGAAGATTCAAGCTGAGAAAACTTAACACTTCACTGAATACCCACAATAAATTCTAATCATACTCTACAACTTATCTGGGACTCGAGGGATGGAAGTTGGCAGGGTTATGCAGACAGTTTGCTTCAACAAGGTCAGTTGGCTTTTTAGGTCAATAAAACATAACAGAAATTGCACCTCCAACTGCTGAACAAATGTTTCTGCATACCAATCATTGAATTCCAGTGAAATCAACCATAATGACAACCACATAGCATAATGGCTTACTTTAGGCTCTCTTGAGCCAGAGAGATTTTCAATCAATGTTGAATGTGCTCTGATAGAAATGCAAAGTGGTCACATTCAGACAAGAATTTCATCTTGGCCAACTCCATAATAAATGCATTTAATTAAGTAAGAAAGATAGAAGAAAGATAAATTCTGAAAATAAATTGTTGAAGTATTTTCACAATCTGGGTGTAATAACTATCCCTTCAAGCACATAAAAATGTGCTTGAAGTAGATAGAGAGTAAATTTAGAGTTCATCCAATTCTTTATGCAATTGATGGGCCTCAAATTTCAGAAACAAAACTTTTCAGCTGGAAAGTAACTTCTGATTGTGGCATGTACTAAAGTGCATCAGGAGGAAAAAGAAGTCTTGGCATCTTTTTGCAATGAGCCATATTTAGCTGTGCAGTTTGAAGATATCCCTGTCACAGACTTCTCTGACATGTCTGAACTATGAATTGTGCTTGGTCTTGACTCTCCCAAGAGAAAACATCAAAAAGATCTTTTAAGACTTTGCTACCTTACAATTTACAACCATCTATAAGCATGAAAAAGAAAATTAACATCAGGCCCTACTAAGAGAAAAACATGTTAACCAGATCAATTTTTGCTTCCAACAAGCACCACAAGACATGTAATATTTGAAAAGTTTACTCAGAAGCAGTGTGCAAAGAAAAATACCAGCTAAACTAATTAACAACCTGGAAGAATTTAAAACACAAACCTGACTAGATGAGGCTGCATACAAACACAGCATAAAAGCACATACAGACAACTCCTTTACAACTATGTGCTGGCCCAGAATCTGGCCAGCAAAAACAGCCACAAGTTTCTGAACCACTGCAACTCCTCATATTCTGTTTGTAAGCAGTAAAAGGGGCAATGGCAATGTATTAAGAATAAGTCTCTGATCTTTGGTTTAAATCTCTCTGTATCAATTGTCACTGTTCATTACCTGCTGGGTTGGGCTATCTACTAAAAAATTATTCCCAATGTTAAGCTTTCTAAAGAAAGATAACATAAGCAAAACCAAAAGAAGAAAAAATTGCTCACAAAACAACATATTAATTGAATATGTTGTTAATAAACATTTTTTTCTTATAGGCATTCAAGAAAAAGATTCATTTACTGGAAAGTTTCTGGTCTAGAAATGAAATGACCAAAAACTTCACAATAGGGACAAGCAGAATTAAAACAACAAAATACAAACAGAAGTTAATAATGTGGAATCAAAACAACCAAACAAATGGAGCATCAATGAAAACCTTCATTGTGGAAGGAGCATTAAGTAGGAGAGCAGAAAATACTGACCTGGAAGTCAAGCTGGTTGGAGTAGGGATGAAAGCAGCAGTTTGGAGAAAAACAGATAGGAAGGAAGACAGCAAAAGAGAATAAAGGGAGGAACACATTAGTTCTTTAAAAATATAACAAGCAGATGTTATATTAGCAGATTATTAAAATAAAATTAAAAAAAAAAGAAAAGGGAAGGAAAAGCAAGAACTAAAATGAAATTTCTGCAGAGGTACATCCTTCCTGTGCAATGAAGAAAACAAACTCTAAATCAAAAGGGGATCTTGTCACTGGTGGACAGAAGAAAGACATCCATATTTATAACCATCCACATTCCAAATTCATATACACACCAAATAGAACAAATAAATTGGTAGCATTTGCTGCCCTACAAACATCTTGTCATATGCCACAAAGCCTTTCATTTGAACTGACATAGGCTGGTGACCCTCATTCATAAAGTTTTCCAATGGCAATCAAAGCAGCTAAACAATTTGGCAACTTGTTCAAAGATATTTAGAAGTTACCAAAGCACTGCAGTTAATAATAAAAGATGAAGATTTGACACCCCACCCCAGAAATGCAGCCCCTTCCAATGCTGACAGCAAAATTTTAATTCAGTATGAAGAAGAGAATTAATACTTCAGTACTGAAAATACTTTGATTGTTAACAACTTTATTTGTTCAAAAAATACTTAACAAAACCTTTTCAGAAAAGAAAGGCCAAAACAGTCCCCACACAGCTAGACTAGTCCTTAAATCTCTCCCTAAGACTCAGCATTTTGTGCATTTAGGAAAAGGAGCATACTTAATAGCCATAAAAGTACTTTTTTTAAAATGTATTTAAATTTTTTTTTATTCCACATGCTGATGTTTTGTCTCTTGTGCAATGACTTCTCACTGCTGTGTAGACTTACTATCATGAGAATTCAAATCCAAATCAATTCAGAATTAATAGTAGTGTGAATACCCCAAGACATTGAATACACATCTAAAACATCTATAGTGTTATGTACCCACTGCATATGAGAAGTAGATGACAAAAACAAAAAACACCTTCTTGTTTCAGAACAAACAGGTTTGTTTATCATATATAATATTTTTAATGGACTTTTATATTGTTGTCATCTTTGCTGAGAAGCTACACTTAGCCAAGCAACTGGCTGAGTATCTCGCACACCACTGGAGAAACATGGATCCAAGATTTTGCAATCTTCACCACGTTGCAATCACTTTCTTTCCCTTTTCAGTCTAAATTTACCAATGGATAATTTATATTGCATTATGTGTCAGTGCTCTTTTTACTGAAATCGCTCTTCTTTCCCTGCAGTGCTTATCCCTTCCCATATCTACACAGAACAAGCATCCCTACAGAGCTTTGTTCTGCCAGAGAAGCAAACCACTCTTGCTTACACTCCTCCTGTGTCATGAGCACTTCATTTCTTCTTCCAGCCCTCTCTGCACCTGTTGCCAGTTTTAATTCAACCTCCAGGCATATGACTGATGAGAAGTACACAGCAGCATTCCAGACAGAGCCTTGCCAGCAGCACCTGATGACATTAATACCTTCCTATCCTTACTTCAGATATTTATTCTGACATATCAGGATTCACGCATCATTATTTATCTCTGCTTCATTATTTAGATGGCTCATAATGACACAGCCATTAGAAAATTCACCCAATCTTTCTTTTTCTGAACTGTATCAAGGATTATCCTTAGTTTATATCAGGCAGTCTTATTGGTCCTAACTTCACAAACATGCATTTTATGCCACTGTATTTCACTGCATTTTGTGATTCAAACTCTCTATCTACATTTCATAAACATACTTCTCATTCTAGCACCATTAATAAAAGCTTTAAACAATTCACTCCTTCAGTCCTGACAGTTCTGTTTCAGCTGCAGCTCCCTCTCCTTGGTGAGGCTCTTGACATAAAAACTTCAGCTGATCACTACCTTATCCAGTTTCATTTACATTATTAAAAAAGCCCCACAAAAATAAAACCCAAAAAACCCTTAACCACATTTCCTTCATCAAGAAAACCAAAGAAAAACAGCAAATTAAATTTAACAAAAGTACATTGTACATTAAATGCAATATCTTGCATTTGATTTTAAACTTTTTTTAATTATAAACAGATAAATTGTGAAAATTGTAATAACAGTTATCAAATATCTTAAGTATAGAAGAAGGAGTAGTTTCTCCTGTGTAGTAATAAGAAACTGTAAAATAAAAAGTTAATATAGGGAGAGTAATTAAAGAAACAGACCAACATGATTTTATATGAGCAATAACATTAATCTGAAGTGATGACGCTCAGGAGTGTGATAGTTTCTGAGCCAAGGAAATCACATTAAAACCAAAAGAATTACCATTTACATGAAGACTTCTTCATAATTATTAATAATGTTCATCTGCCAAGTAGCACACATTTATAAATTTAACTGCTCATATATCAAAGCAGATACTTCCACCAGAGTATTTGACACTTCGTGTGTCAATACTTTCTGACTAGTAGAACGTTAATATTCATCTCCTTGCTTTAATTTTTGTTTGAATTTGTAAATTATAACTTTATTACAACCATTTTTAATTTTCAAGTTTATTTATACAAGCACACCTCATTATGTTGAAGAATTCATATGTGAATATAACAAATATTGAGGTTACCACAGCTTGCAATAGCCTAGATAATCACTTCCTCAGAAATTTATGTTGACATATTTAGAACATTTATGTTGTTGCAAGTATCTTGCAGTGTAAAGATGTTGGCATAGCAGTGACCATGGATCCTAGCAAGCTATGAATGAATAATTGTATTTTAATGTCACATTCATTTTCCTACAGGACCTCAGAGATGCCCTTGAATCTGAAGTTTGAGGAAATGTCAAATATATCCTAAAGGTCCATAGCAAAGTTTAACCACTCCATCACATTCTAAGTACAGTACATTCTCTTCAAAAGTCTGTGTTCACTCAGCAGTACCACATTATTTTCTGAGAAGTTATTTCAGGGTCAACACCCTCATCAGCAATAACACACTAGAAATTGGTGCTCCAAAGCTTCACTGCTAAGAGTATAACACGTTTGAAAGGAAAATGAATACAAAAATAGAAAATTCTCACCCATTACAGAGTTCTCAGACAATAGGAACAGATTGTATGCTGAGAATGCTGTACCAGTATCTCTGGATCCCTTAGTTCCTTTTAACTTTGTAATGGTTTTGTAATCAATCATTCTCAACTCAAATTAATTTACTTCTCTCTATCAATTCTTTACCTCTTTTTACATAAAGTATTTAAATGAAATTAACATTTCCAGAAATTTGAGATCACAAGCTACAGTACTTCACCATGACCATCATGATTTAACTCATTCATCATCCTAGAATTTCGTCATTTTAATATTCAAACATACAACTCATTCATGATTGCTATCTAATAAAGGTCTTAAGATTATCCTCTTGAACCCAAGATTACTGTGCCTACTAATGAGTCAGGTGTCACACAGTAATTCAGTTTTACAGTGCAAGGAGGGGATCAGTTGCTGTTTACACCTGGTGGTCACACCTGCAGTTGCTGCATTACAAGTCTGGGCCTGTAACTGCCCCTGCATCACTGCAGGGAAAAGGCAGCACTTTCTCATCCAAAACCTCTAACTGTGGTACCTTTTCCAATATGCTGCTTTAGGATTTTGGAGAGTGTATCAGAGCTCACAGACATGGTGCACAAAGCACCCACTCTTGATTACCCACTTACTCTGGGACCTCCTTTACACATTAAAGTAGAGGCAAACACTTGAGTATTCTAAGCTCTGATGTGCTGAGTCAACTACCAACTGAAGTTGCCCATATGTAAATAATCAGCTCTATTTTAAATACAAATCTTCTCTCATTTTGAATTTGAGATATAGAGGCAAACACTTGAATATTCTAAACTCTGATGTGCTGAGAGAGTCAACTACCAACTGAAGTTGCACATATGTAAATAATCAGCTCTATTTTAAATACAAATCTTCTCTCATTTTGAATTTGAGATCTCCATTCTCATGATTCTTAACCACTACTGACCTCAACTGAACGTCTGCAAAGAGTAAAAAGTTTTGGCAGCAGGTAGCTGTGAAGATTAGTAAGTCATCCTCAGTAAAAGATGCTTTACACATCTTTCTTTCCATGCTGGCTGTTTTCTGCCCTCCAAGGTAACCAGCATTTCTGACATGTTCCTCTCTTTCATGGTAATGCTACCTAATGGGTTCTTGGCCTTGACTGGAACTATAGCAATGATCACAAAAATAAAATCACTTAAACATCTTTTTTGGAACCATAAAACAGTTTTCTGCTGACTTCATCATAATCAAACAATTATATAAATTATTTGAAAACACAAAATTCCTTCTTTCATTCAAGCAAGAGTGTCTAATTAAAGGAAGAGAAAAAAGAAAAGAGATCAATCAAATAAATAGCAGGACCCCATACAGGAGAAGGTCCCAAGATCTATTTAATTACAAAGGGCATAAGACAAATCCCAAAATCCTCCTCTCTCCATTATGGAAAGCCTCTACAACCTTCCCAGACACAAGACAATCACTGCCTGGTCAACATCAGAAAATATACTTTTCAAGCAAACAAAGACTATGGGAACACTGAGAAATAGTTACAACTATTATTAAATAGTCATGAGATATGTTAGAAATACTTACCAATACTTTTCATGACCTCTTAGAATGACTGATGGTGTTCATACTTGAAGAAACACATGGGGGCAGGTCTGATTCACCAGCTACTAAAAAGACAGGCTTCTTCCCCAGCACTGTTTTCTGGGGGATTGTTGTGCCTATAAATTGCACTGACCTTTCCTATACATACTTGTTTTATGTAGAGTATTAAAAAATGGAAACCTTAAATTTTTCCAAAGTCAGCCCACGGGTTAGAAATACTTACCAATACTTTTCAGAACCTCTGAGATCGACTGATGATGTCCATACTTGAAGAAACACGTGGGGGACAGGTCTGATTCACCAGTTACTAAAAAGACAGGCTTCTTCCCCAACACTGTTTTCTGGGGGGTTGTTGTGCCTATAAATTGCACATGACCTTTCCTATACATGCTTGTTTTATGGAGAGTATTAAAAAATGGAAACCTTAAATTTTTCCAAAGTCAGCCCACATGAGATGCAGTTCTCAAGTAGCCCTTTTTTGTTCTTTTACAAAGCATAACCTCTATACTGTTAAAAAATACACTCCACTTGTAACCTCTGCTTCTGAAATGAAGATCAAGTAAGCAAAAATGCTACTCAATGTAAGACAATACAAAAATTACCTTTCTAACTCAGCAATTTTCTTATCTTTGTCATTCTTCTCATTCTCTACTTCCTTGAGTATTTCTAGAAGTCTGTCAACCTCAGCCTGAGCTTTGCCACATTCTTCTCTATAGTACGATGCCTCCTTGTCAAGCTGTTTCATTCTGTCTGCAAATTCTGGATTCATCCGTGCCTCCTCTTCAGCTTCATGAGCCTTCAGAATCAATATTTCAAAAAGATAAGGGTGACAATAACTTAAATAGCTTGAAAAGCTTTACTTCTTTACTCTTCTCGGAGTTCAAGTTTACATTAAAAAGGATTATGGGTATTCCTGTCTGATGCATTACAAAAATAAATGAAAATATCTACATAGTCAAATTTTATTGTCCTGAAAGTGGAGGGGATTTATTAAGGGGTTTTTTTACGTATTAAAGTGACCCCATGTTAAAGATGTTTTTTCAAATTTAACAAAAACTCACCTTGTAATTCATTAAATTTACATTCAGTTCAGTGTGTTTTGAATATACAGTCAATTTCTTAACAAATCATGTACTCTTTCCCTATACATAAATACACTTTGTCCATGTGTAAATATGCCAACACAGATACATATATACATACTGTATATATCTGTATCACCAGATGTCTCAAATGCAGTTTGATACAAAGAATTTAATGGAAAGAAATTATTTTTAATGCAGTGGTGACTTTAAAAGACAAACCAATAAACTAAGAAGCTGCTTTCAGCAGACATCTTACCCAATAATCCTTTTTAGCCTATCGTTAATACTTAACCTGAAACATCAGAAGAACAAGCCCATTGGTGAACACAGCACAAACCTGGCAAACACATGCATGGATGGGTGGGAGTTCCACAGACAAGAGAAAACGCAATGGAAACAACAAGAGTGCAGAGCCCAGTCCAACTCCCATCAAACCTAATGGCAAAATCCCAATTAGCTTCAATGGGAGCACGACCTGGCACCAAGTGCTTTCAACTGTTGGCTGCAATAATCACAGACAGATGGAAACAACGATGCACTGCAATGCTTAGCCTACCCCTTGCTTCCCATTATTCCTAATTGGCATCTTGAAAGGGCAGGCAAGGAAAAAAGAAGTAGTTTAAGGCAGTGCACATTAAACATAGAAAATTCAGGTAACATACAGGATTTTTTTTACAGAAATTCATGGTATTTAGAACTGAAGGTCCTCCAACTATCTTAGTACGCAGAGAAAACATGGACTTACTTATCCTTAATTTCAGGGAATGGACAATGCAAGCAAGCAATGATAGAAATGCAGATCAAAATGAAGCATGCATGTTTGGGAAGGAACTAATATAAACTACGGATACTAGAAGGTCCATATTCTTTGCAATGGTTAAAATGTTCTGTATAAATAAAGAACAAGTCTGAGTTTACTACGAATACAACAAAAAAAATAGAAATTAATAGCGAAAAAACTTAGGGTGTTTGCATGTAACATATCATTTAAGCATGAGGATAATAAGAAAAAGACAGTAGATTTGAAGTGTTATTTATCCTACTTGAAGATTTTTATTCAGAAGAAATATTTCATCACCAAAAGAAGCCAAGGGAATCATATGAGGAGCCTACTAAACCTACAGACCTTGCTCTTCAAAGTCTCTGTTTTGATACATGCTCCAGTCCTGAATTCCATGCCAATATAGGACTTTTCAAACCCAGAACTCTTTTCAAGGTAACATTCAAGGAGTATCTTGATTTTACTGTTTGACTGAGATGTCAGCAACAGATTCCTTTTCAGGCTCAATATTCCTTAATAATAAACTTGGATTTCTTTTATACCAGTTGTTAGTTGCATCAAGAAATTTATTTTCAACTAGCTTTGTAACTTTTGAAGTCAATATAATACTCAGACTCAAGGCCAATTATCTGAGAAAATACTTTGATTGTCCATAAACCCTATTACAATATTATACACTTTTTTATCATTACGTAATTTTGGAAGGAATAATTTAATTCCATAGCTAAATTCACTCTAGAAAAATAAATATAATCCAACTCCCACATTCAAGATACTAAGAAACTTATTCAAAAAAGCACACTGTTCCCTATTCTTCAGATTTCTGCTCCTCTCCCAAGGTTAAATCCAGAATTTCACAGTTTCCCTCCAAAGGCTATTGCTCCTTTGTCTAACTCCCTGTCACCTTTCTGTCCCTTCCCTTTGGTAAAAATTTAATTGCATACCAGCCTTGCTTCCGTCATTTCATAGAGAGGAAAAACACCCACCTTCCTTGCCCTAACCAGTCTTCAACTGAGCATAAAGTCTCAGCTTCAGCCCAAACTTTTTTCCCCATGTACCTCTACCCTTCTCTTACCCCAGAACAAGAAGCAATGTAGATGAGGGAGAGAAGCCTGTCTCTTTTTTAGGTTTCATTGCCACACTGCACTTTCTACAAGGCAAATGCATAATTGGGCAAGAACAGGATAGCATCACCAATGCAGAGGTGCCAAATGTTCTACCACCATGGAGTATTCCTGTCACACAGGAGCTCAGAAGTGCACTGAAAAAATTGCCTACTGCACAGCTGATAAGCAAATCACCACCTAAAATAATAAATATATTCCTCACTTTAGCCCTTTAAATCTTGGCTCAACAGCATGCTAAGGAAATCAACATTAAGCTGCAAAAATTTTTAGTTCTTGTGTTTTCTGTGGTACTCACGCTGTTCCATATTTGTGGGATGTGTTTTTGGAAAATTCTGCAGCACAAACTGGGTTGCTGCATTTCCCCAACATGAAGTGGAACTTCTAAGGTATGATTAAATGTGATTAAGCATCCAACCAATGTCACATATAAATCAATGTAAGCATTAAGTTACTACAAGGTTGGTCTTAAAAAAAAATTAATTAAAAAAAATAAAACCAGTATTGCAAATCACCAATTTAGCCGACTGCCTCTACTTTTCAAAGCAATTAAAAAAACCTTTTTTTACTATTGGCAGGAACCAGATTTCTACAAGGGTATTGCCCAAATGAAGTAAAGGAAAGTTAGTTAAAAAGGGGGAGCAGGTACAAAAAAACAAGTTTTACAAAGAGCTTTCTGCAGGTGATACTTTAACCTGCAATTCTCTTTAAGGGACTCTTCACATTGTAAACAAAGCTGCTGATACCAGAAAAGAGCAAAACAAAATCCATCTGAGACTGCCAGGACAAAGGCACAGAATTAATTACTTATAAGGCCCCATTCTATTTTATGGCTTTGAAAGATGTGTTTGGATCTGAACTAGGCACCTTTCTGAATTTGTTGTGTACAGATCAGGGGTGATTTGTTGACAGATGGAACTTGACTTTTGAGGTCAACCAGTAGGCCCAAAGGAGTAAAAAGGCAGCTCAGTTGATATTGACTCTGCTCCTGCCAGGACAAGGCAGATTTCTTTGGCTTTTTTTAGGCTGTAGACTGAACTGGTGGATCTAGTTCTAGACAGAAGCTGCATGAATCACATGAATCACAAAGTCTCTGCATATTTCTGCTGTACTGTCCATTTTGTGTTTAATTTCTGTCCCCTGTTTACTCCCTAAGTTCTCTGTTACCTTGGAAAACACATTTTCTGTTTCTATGGGACTTTTATAGGTAGAAGGGACTAGTCCACGTGTATTTTTCAGCTTTCTTAAATCTGTATCTGCAAATGATAACTCTTGTGTGTACACATTAGGTTAATTTCAAACTAACCCACTCACTCTATGATGCTTTTTCTCCCAATATTATGACTGTGATGTTGTGTGTTATTTTTACAACTGAGTAAAAATAGCATATCACTCTACCATTAGAATGTCACAAATTTTTACATTAATTATACATCTGTTCTGATCTTTGCTTCATAAGCACTGCAAATGGTTTAGAAGTAACATTTCCTTATGTAAACCACAAATTTCCTACAGAAATATCATAACAGTGTGGCACAGACATGCAACATGAATTATTTAGGCTATTAAAGTCTTATGCTACAGTCATGCATGTATTATTCTGCATAATAGAAATGGATGGATAGATAAGTATTTCATTTTTAAAGTTTGAGACACAAACATACACAGAAATGAAGTGGGTACTTAAAATAAAAAAAAAGGAACAGCAGAATTTACATGCAAGATATTTATTACTTTGTAAGATCCTTCAAATTTTATTACTTTCAAAAATAAATGGGAAAAAAGATTGCTGTCACACAAATTTTCTTGTCGCCTTAAAACTCAGGAGGTTTTCATTTAACTTTAGGGACTGCTCTAAGTAATTTATAGTGTATTCTGCAAGTAGTTTAAATTTTAATCTGACATTTCTCTTATAGATGATCTTGGAAAATTAGGCTTTAATATTCAGAAAAAGATTCACCTGAACTCTAAACTCAGTACAGCATGACATTTAAATGACAGCACAAAGACAATAATGCAATTTCTCATAATCAATTTTGCACCAAATCTCTTTGGGTACTTCAAAAAGTTCACCTTTAAAGCATGAAGAAATGTATGTCCAATTCTATTTACAACTTATGCTCAATGTAGGAGAAGAAAGAAGTTGAACAAGAGAAGTTTATTTTTAAAAAATCATCTTGTGGGTATAGCACAATTGCTGCCTGGTGCTGAGGGAAGAGGATCTTGCATCTATTGCTTTGCAACTTCCAGCAGGCTGTCCTTTTGAAAATTAACCATATAAAGGCAGAAAAAAACAGCTAAGAAAAGGACTGGCTTTGGAATACCACACACAAACAGATTAGGAAGTAACAAATTAATTCTACACAGCAGAATCAATAATATTGAGCTAATGACTGGCCAGTATTTATGAAAACCAAGCTAAAAACTAACAGTAAAAAGACTCCAGTCTGAAAAGACATGCACAGGAGCAGTGCAAATGACATGAATAGAAACATAACTACCACAAAAGTGACCCAACATGATACAGAAAAAAAAAATGGGTGTATCATTGAAAGGGACAATCTCTTTCTCCAGCACTGTGCTGGAGAGTAGAGGTGGTAATACCAGGTTTTATGCTATTGTGCTACAATTTATGACTAAATTCTCAATACAGGTAACCAATAACTTCAAAAGTAAACAGAGCAGATTGTGTGGGAATCTCTTTTTCCCATACAAAAGTCATGACATAGCCATTACATGGTTGGAGCTACAAAACCTAACCATAATAGATTCCAAAGCTGGAATCCTGGTCCATGGATGCCCATGGCAAAGCTCCCACTGACTCCAGTGATGGCAATACCTCCTCTAATGTGCAGTATCACATTACTTAAGCCACAAACCCACTTCTTCTATATGTACACTATCCAAATTACATAGTGATTCTGACTAGGATTACTATGTAAACTATAGCTTTTAAATTGCTCTTACAGTTACATCATTTTTCTGTCCTGTGATGCTCACAACACATTAAATGTAACAGTCTCAGCCAAAAAGATGGAAACTCCTCTCTGCACAGAGAAGGTTTGTTGCTGCTCTTCCTCAAATTGAAGGAGTGAAGTTAAAAGAGATAATGTGCAATTAAAGCAGGCATTTGTGAGAATATTAATGCTATACAAGCCAAAGCAAAGACTTTGCAAAGACTGCCTTTTGCATTTATCATTTTATATTTCAGTATTTTCTTCACTTAAATACAAAGTTTCCATGTTCCTAATGTGTATATGCTAAATATATACAGTCTTTCATGAGTGGAACTAATCTATTTTAGTCATATGGACTTTTGAAAATACTGCCAGTCATTTCCTAGATATTATTATTCATTAACTCAGTCACTGAAGATAAACTGAATAAATTAGGAGTTACATAAGTTTGAAGGATCAAATAAAGTACTGTACAAGGAGGAATTAAAAAGCAAAGCAAAAGGAAAAAAAAAAATCTGCATGCATTTTCTAATGGAGAAGTTGAGGACCTAAAGGAAGTTTGTTTTCTCAGAAACACAGTATGTACCTATTAATACATTTTGGATTCTTAAAATGGCCTTCAAGTCCACAAAGTTCATTTATTAGGATATAATGGATACAGCAGAGTGAGCACCAGGAGCGTTCTGCAAAGCTCCACAGAGGAAGAGCACAACACAGTAAGGGAATGGATCCTCATGCTTCCATATGTTACAGCGGGCAATTTAAAAATGAACTTACTGGATTGTACATCTGATTGAACAACTGCTCAGCTTGCTACATTGCAAAGTTGGTAGGGAGTGAAGCACAGACAGGAAAAGAGGGAAAGATCCAGGAAAACAGCATTAGCTCAACAAAACCAGTGCATTTGCACAGAAGAACATGTCATTAAAAAAAAATAAAGGAAAAAAAAAGGTAGAAATTTAAGATTCTAAACATTCCTTGGTGAAAGTGAGAGGCACTGGGGAAACATAAATGTTGACTTTGGCTCCTAAAAAAGAATAGCTGGAGTAAGAAACTTAAGGTTTGTGTTACTTTCCCTTTCTCAAGTTAAATAACCCATGAAATAAAGAGAGGTGTCCACTTTTGATGATACATTAAGTGCTGGTCTCAAGCAATGAATCACAAGAAGTGCTTTTGGCTGAGGCTGCAATTTATCACCAAAGCTTCAAAGACAGTAATAATAAAAGATTAATTAAATAGTATCATTAAATTTATTACTTTCCTTTTGTTTAATACAATACTGAATTTTCTATGCAGAATGACTTTCAAACAGTACAGCTTGGCAAATAGTACTTTAGCAACTGCAAATATGTCAGTAAGCAAGTAAATTTAAGATAATGAAAAACAACAAAAGGAGGAAATTCTGGAGTGGATAATAAAGATTATATATACACACATATCTATAAAACACTTTGCTACCTATGAGGTAATTCTCCTGCTGTTCTTTCACAAGTAGCAATTCAAAGTAAGTCAACAAAAATCTACGGAATTTTGGGAAAAAAGCATTGACCATTCTCTGGTATTTAGAATTATTTCTTTGAAATTTTTTATGAATTTCAACCCATAATATTTGTCACAAGATGTTCAATAAGCATGTCTACAATTTAAAACATTACTTTTTATACCAAAATATAGCAGAGTCACATGAATGATTACTTTGTACAAATAGCCTCTTCATTATTTTTGAAATGTGCCTAGTGGGTTTAGAATCAGCATATTTTTTCTTGCCAAAATGCAGAAAATCCAGTTATGCAGTACTAAAAAATATTTGGATCTAATCAGATTCAATAAAATCCATCTTTATTATCAAGAAATGAATCCTATTGCCTCAAAAAAAAAAAGAAAAACACAGAAAGCAGGGAAAGCTGGGGAGGAGAAACTCCAGTTGTCATTTTTATTTACAATTTTACTTTGAACTTGCCCCTTGTGCATTTTCCTTCAGACATAGCACTTACCACTATTAGTGCTCATGCAAAACTAACTCCCAGCAAGCGTGCACAGAGTACTATCCTCACATTTCTTAGTTTAATTTCTCAAATTTACACATCAACCCTGAATTATAATTATTTTACAACAGCATAACAAAGTAGCTCCTCCATGATATTTTTAGAGAGGACTACTGTATAAGCTACTTGGAATTTTTTCAAGGAGCCAGCCCCTTGGAGTGGGTTTGGAAAGAGAGAAGCAAACTGTGCCAGATGCCTCTGCCCCTGCAGAGGCTGATGCTCACACGTGAGCACACTCATGGGACACGTGGGCTCATTTATGACCCTGCTGCTGTCCCCTCCTCCTCTGACCCAGACATGTGCAAGAGTGACCCAGGTTTCTGTTTCACTCACTTTCCTGAGCAGTGAGAACACGGTGCAGGTATTTTTCTGGGGACCAATTACTTTTAACGCAGGATATTTACAGGTTTGAACATAAAGTATTTCATTAAAGAAAATGTGAATTGAAAATGACTGTTTGGAGTCTACTGTCATTAACAGTCACTGTTTCTGTTCAATTAAGCATGCCCAGAAAGAAGGTTGTAACTGCATTTTATTGTGGAAATACCTGGTCTCCTACAAATGGTGGGTGAATTTCCACTGGGCTTTATACTGTATTTATGATATAATAAAACTATTATGTTTTCAACTTTCATTCAATAATTGTTTGTATTTATACACAAGAAACATGCTCCCTTTTTATACAAAAGACATCCCAGACACTCTGACTTTTTTAAGTGCTTGTTTTTCCATGACTGTATGATGTGTTTATATGTACAGTCATAAATGATTGATTTAGGATTTCAAGTCCTTCAAGAGGATTTTGGTGAGGGTTTTTTAAGTGATCTGTGCTTCCAGGGCTCTTTTAACTGTATATTTTAAATTAAGGAAAAAATACATTTCAGATTGTAATGAAGTATCTGTAGGAGGGGAGTGCAAAAGTAAACAAACATTTATTCTATCAAACTAAAGCAAAGTAAGTGACTTCCAGAGAAACCTTTTTTTTGGAGATTTTAATTCTACCATCAATAGCATTTTTAAGGTATCAGCCATTTAAATTATTTGTGTTTCCATTTGTATATGTTTATTGAAAAAAGCTTCCCTTCCTCTCAACTAAAGATCTAATGCAGGCACCTAATTGCACATATTCATTCTGAATTGAGAAAGAATACAAATATAAGGTTTACACACTGGTATCCTTTATAATTTGCAATACCTTCTTCACAGGTCAGGCTATTGAAACAATGCTTAATCTGAGCAGGATACTACTCAACCTGGGTAAAAAGAGTGTCAGAATATTATGCTAACAGTGATAACATTCACAGAACAAATATTAATTATCAGAAAATGAAAAACTATATCAATATTTAAAAAAAAACAACACTTGATGTACACTTAGTCATGAATTGCAGAAGGCAAACGTAATGCCTGACCCCATCAAAAACATAACGAGAACAATGAGAGCAGACATTACTACAACACAGAAAAAGGTCAAAGAAACAATGGTATCAAAACACTTGCAAATCATTTAAGCAAAATGTAGTTTATTGCAGCAATTTAGGTAAAACCATGTAATAAAATACAGGGTTTATACGTTTTTCTTTAAATGCTTGCTTCCACTTCTTGCTGAATAGAAATACTGAATTGCCAGCTGATATAAACTTTTGATTATTTTGCTTAATTATCACAAACACATGTTCACCAACAAAGCCAAAAATACATCAAAATAAAACCTAGTTTTCATTTTAGAAGCTGATTTTTTTAATTAGGAATTCCAGCATTTCTCAGACAAGCTTTTAATTTTTTTCCTCATCCTGCAAACATTTCAGTTTACTGGTGGCTTGATAATTCCTTTCTGCCCTTTTCCCTCCGATGTCCTGCTCTCAGTTCATCTATTTGTTGCAGCTTCTCAGAATTCCCTCATAGAGGTACTGAGGACAATTTCTGAGGCTCACTAGTGGCTTTGGTACAAATCTCTTGAGGAAAAGCAGTACTTGATGCAAGCACCAGCAAACAGCATAGGATGGGTAGATTCTAGATTTACTCCAGAAGAGTAAATAAGCTCATCATTTCAAAATGAGGGTATGGGATGCTGATTTTTGTTTTGCTGATTGATTGTTTGTTTTAAGATGGAACTTACCTTTTTCAACTGTGCTTCCAACTTACTACACTCTTCTTTCTTTTGTTCTATGGCTATTTCTAAAGACTTAAGTTTGGAGTCTTTTTTCAGCCCTGCTGATGCCAATGAAGATGCATGTTCTTTGAGATCGATTAAACTAGACTGGAAAACGACCAAGAGTAAAAAGTTAATTCCTAGCGACCAGGACACTAACTTAGCAATCACCTGGATCCTGTTCCCCCTCCCCCAAAAAGAGGTGACTCAAAGATAAGCATTGATAGCAAAAGACACCATTTTGTGCATACAGCTGGAACCACATGAGCTGGCATGCAGTGAAATACAGACATTCATAGTACAGACAAGTTCATGTCATATTCTGGAGGTACAAACACACTGAAAACTATTTCTCTAACTGACAAACAAAAACAGCAGGAGCAATGAAATATTTGAGCCTAGTGGAAGCTTAGGTAAAGGACAAAGTAGAGATTATAATGCACAGCTATGTAAAAACTGCAGTAATATTTTATGTACAAATGAGGACTGTGAAGAATGCTTAAGAAAACAGCAGCTCTGAAGCTGAACACTGAAGTGGCAGAATTTCAGTACTTGACATGACTCGAGAGTGATCCTAATGCACTTTCTTTCATCATAATGACATAGATAGAAGAGCAGAGTTTTTAAGAAAAGACTGACCTCTTTTTCTGTCAGTTCAGCTTGTAAAGCATTAACTTTCTCCTTCAGGTCCTTGTTTTCTTTTTTATAAGATTCAATTTCTTCAAGTCTTTCTCTGTCATCTCGATCCCTTTGCTCCTTCAGACGCTCTATTATTCTTTCCTAACAAGGGAAAAGAATTGCAAAACAGAAAAGTTGGAAATAATTTTAAGAAAGACAACATTCAATTTGTTTGCATTATGTAGCACTTATTACAAAAAACCTGCAGAAGCAGAGGATGATTGAGTTGATGGTATTAAAGTCAATCCAAGATTTCTCTAGATTTCAAAATCCTAAGATCAAGTTTTTAAATACTTGATAAGAGTAACACAGTACAGGAACTTCATTAAAGAGCTATACTGATAGGAGTATGTTGAGTTTTGTGATAGATGTGGAAAGATATTCACTTCAATAATATATTTCCTGTATTCATAAGTGATTGAAGTCTTGAAAATAAGTTCAAAACAAGCCATGAATAGTTTCTTCAGAGGCCATGACCAGTTTACTCAGCTTCAATTTTGTTATTACTCTACTTGCTTGCAATAAGACAAAGTTCCAGATCTAATCAGCCACTTGCTAACTATCAGTAACTTACTGTTTACACATGTTATATATTGAGATGCCAAAAAAAACAGTTGTCCAAGACACAGAAAAAGTACTCAGATACAAATTTAAAAACCCAAAGGAATATTTTTCTCTGTCTAATTAACAGTAACCCTACAGATCTTTAAACTCAGCCATGTTTCTGCATATTTTGCTGATTTCCAATAACTATTTCAATGTTTGCTGACTACCACCAGTCACTGATTGGGTGATTAATTCAAAGGGTGAAATGGAAAAAGCAGACACAGTACTATGGTTTCATTAACCTAATTTCATCAATACTTGAAGGATGCAAATACCAATCAGAGAAAAATACTTAGGGTACAATGAAATAACCACTGGCACTGCATTTCAGCTGGACCAGGTCTTTAAGCAGAGTATCAGGAGAACTACTGGTATCATTGAGTGGTGGCAGTTGGCGGGGCAGTAGAAGCAACATAATTTAGGTCCTGCACTTGGGTCAGGGCAATCCTAGACTGAGCAGAGCAGCCCAAAAGGAGGAGGACTTGGCTGTGTACAGTGACAAATAGCTCAACGTGACTCAGCCATGAGTACTCAGAGCCCAGAACACCAGCTGTGTTCCTGGGCTGCATCCAAAGCAGTGCGGCCAGCAGGTCAGGGAGGTGACTCTTCACTCCTGCCCTGCTGGCACCCACCTGGGGAGGAACTGCATCCAGCTCTAGGGGCCCTCACAGGACACAGATGTGCTGCAGAGGCTCCTGAGGAAGGCCAGGAAGATCTGAGGGCTGAAACAACCTGGTCTATTGGAAGGGGTCCCTGCCCACAGCAAGTAGGTTGGAACTAGGTGATGATCTTTAACATCCTTCCAATCTAAACTTATGACACTAAATAACTTCAGGTTTATTCCTAATAACAAACAATTTAAATATTTAAATTCTTAATACTTGGAATATTAATATTAATATTAAGATGCCAGCCTCCATAAAGTAGAATAGTTTAATAATAATAATCATTCAGATTCCACCTGGTTATATTCGGAATTAATTTTTTACCAATTCCTTCTTGAAGATTTATTTACCCAAATGATTTTTTCATCTACAACAAATTAAACATAACACTATTTCATCTTTTTAATGAACAGTATATTTTTTTCTCAGTCAATCACAAAAGAAGACTAATTTATCTGTCAGCTGCATAAGGCTAAATGTCAAAAACGTGTTAAAAGGCCCTAATAAACCATGTTTTGCTTGATTAACAGCTAACTTGCAGAAATCCCAACAATGTGTTCTTGTTTCAGTCTTGTTTGCATTGGGCAGCTTTCCTTATGAACTAATCTGGGACCTCACAGGTCTAATCTATTTGCACTTTATCACAGAAGCAGGAACTGAATTGCCCCAGCATATAGCTCCATTATCAGACATACTCCATTGCTTATCTGCTGTGTGCTGCTACAGTAGGACCAACTTTATAAATATCAGCTTCATGAAAGCAACCTCTTGAGCTGCTTTGGGCCAGTCCAAGAGCTGAGATATTCTTTGAAAAGTTTCTTGTTATAACATCAAGGCAGCTGATAGCACTTTGCATAGTCTGATTTTCAAATTTTTTTTTTCTTTTTTAATTGGAATGTAATCCTTATTGTTGTTATTACAAATTTTCAGTGCTTAGGACAGGCTCTGAAATCAGGGATAAATAGTTGAATGAAGATGTTTTGCAGCTTAGTTCCAAAATGAACTCAAATGTGACTGAAGTTGATTTGTTTCTGATTCCTGACAAGTGGAAAAATCACACCAGCAATATCATCAGAAAAATACTAAGATTAAAAAAAGGAAAATTTGACCTTGCTTTATTACATCTACATTAATTTCTCATTTAGCGTTCCCAAGATACCTAATCACTAAATACAAAAGAAAATCAAGAGACAGACACTTGGAAAAATCTATTTTCATAAGGAATAAGGAAACACATTTTCTAATTCAGAGCTAAAATCTTAATCTGTGTTTTTTCAAGAAAACTGCAGGAAAACATTTTGGACTTTAAAAACAGCTTTATATAATTCACTAATATCATATGATCATGTTTTCATTTTTTTCTTCCTATAGATGCTAAGAAAAGCAATTCAATCAGATTCCAGTAAATTGTGGTCAGCTAAACTTGTATGAATATATTTGTATTTTAAAAGAGCTTCCCATGATGGTCTGAAAGAATTTTATTCACTATTTTTAATTAAAATTCTAAAAACTATTGAATGGACAAAGAATTAAAATAATGCAAAAAACAGCCTAGTCTCAGAGTACAAACACAAAATTACGGAGTTGAAAAGTAGGTCTGATACAATTTCTAGAAAGAAAAACAAGGGACACAAACAATGCATTTCCATGGAAATGGAAACCAGGTATTCTTAAATGAAAACATCATCCTTTCTTGACAGTATTACACACTCAACTGATAAAAGTACTTATATTGATGCACTTGTTAATAAACAACTCACTAAGGTTTCCTGTTCTGTCCCATTTGGACAAACCTCTATCCCATATTTCTTCCAGTAGAAATATTTAATAACTATTGATAAAGTCTGTAGGTCTGAAGAATGCTACTGCATAAGAAATACTGAGAGCAGTCAGGAGGAATTGGGAAGCTGGACACACAAAGGAATGAGGCACATTTGTAAACAGACACTGTCAAAGTATTTAGCTGCCAGAAGACAGAAAAAAGCCAGGTGTAATTGTCCATTTGGAATTTCTAGAGAATGGCTACTGGCTTCTTTCAGTGTGTAAGTTCATCTCAGAAATCACCCTTGACTTCAAAAAATCTGCCCTTCCTAGAGTGGCCTTCAAGGGACTTGTAATGGAAAAGAAATTGAGCGTGATTTCCCTGTACAACAATCAAAATCCTACAGAGATATGCATTTACCTTGCAAACCTTCTCCTCATTGTGGTTCATGCTCTCAGATCAAGCACCCCACTGTTCAAAAGCTAATCTGAATAGAATCCTAACTCAGCAGTGTTGCTCCTACTCCTATGCAAGTCTCCATTGTGACAGTCACTCTGCTTCCCAAATGACTGTTTTAAAAAACCCTCAGCTGCCTCTACAGGCATTTTGGGAGAGTGACTAATCCAGAAAAGATAGTTTACAAGGAGAGAAAACAGATTAAAAAGTACTTTCTCTCTTTTTTTTAATTAACATGCTGTGAAATTCATGAACACTGCATCCAGATTACCAGTGAAAGATTACAGAAATGTGTCATTTTACTGTATAACTAAATGCTTATTCACTTGAATCAATACCAAGAGCAACTTTTTTCACTGTTGTTGACCGAGCAAATGCTAGGAAATCAATTAAACACACAAGAAATAAAAAATCTGACATTAACATTGTATGTGTCAGTGCCAACACCACAGCAGCATTTTCAAGTCATATGCGGTCATAAATACCTTCATAGGATTACACGCTGCAGAATGGCACATATTACTTTACTGTTCACATTTAAGTAGTATATATTAAGATCTGTGAGCTGAAAAATGTGGGTATTTGTACTAATTTTTTTGGCATATAAATTCACTTGCATTACCTCGTACTTAAAGTGAACTGAAAGAAGAAACCTGACCTCACTGAAACTGGTAGGAATGTTGCCACTAATTTAAACAGTCCAGATTTATCCCTTCTCCTAGGTATTTTCAAATTAAAGGCATAGAGTTTGTAAAAGAAAAAAAAAAAGGAATGCTCAATATTTTTTTTAATGAAACAGTTTCCCTTAAAAATGAAGTGTAGGAAGCCAGTAGTGCTCACAGCAAGCCAAGGTAAGAGTTAGTACAGCCACTTGCTCTTGGCCCCAGCTTAATGGGCCAAAGAACAGGATAATCAAGACCACTAAGACAGAAAAATGGCCAAAACTACCTCTCCTTTAAGTCAGGTGTCCAATGCTTTTCAGTTCTTTCAGGGACTAACTACTCACCTCATTGGCTAAGGCAAAATCTTCCCATGTCCTGGGCCATTTTCTCCATAAGCACTCAAAGGACATCACTCCTTGCCCTCCAAGTTCTGTGTCAGTTCATCCCCGACAGCCATTCCTGATCATCCTACCAGGACAAGCCACCTGCTTCGCTGACAAGGCCCCTAGCCTTTGGGAGAGCTGTGAGGCCAACTCAGAAGCACATTTTCTGCACACACTTCACCCACAAGAGCAGCACATACAGGTTTTCATGAGAAAACATTACCTTTTCTGACAGAGCTTCCTCTAAGGTTGCCAGTGCTGTGTCTGTATTACTGGAATCCGTCTGCAGCGACTTCACTCTGTCTTTTAGATTAGTTAGCTGTTTGTCTTTGTCCCTAAGTTGCTCCTGTAGATTTTCAATCTGCAAATAAAAACATTACAATAATCATCAACCTTGTCATAATGTTCTAAGAGGGACTTGGGTGCTGAGTGCATACACATCACATATACGATACACGTGCCTTGTTATACTGCTAGCTTTGTAACTGCTATGTCACCAACAGTTTTAAACTTCAGTCCTTTCTATTTTGTTTTCTATTGCTGAAGAAGTATAATTTTCCAATAAAATAAAGGGAAAATCTCACTGCAGTCAGGTATTTTATTATTTAAATATTTTCTGATATTAATCACTCCAGTTTAAGGTACTGCGTTATCTCAGTAATTCAAAGTATGTCTGGAATTACCCCTTTAGATTATTCTAGTTTAATAAGAAGGACCATGAAAGGGTGAGGAAAACCAATTTGAGTGAGCCCTAAAATGAGGAAGAAGAAAGATTATAACCTGCCTATCTAAAAATTTCTTCTTCCATGATGCCTTGCCATAAGGAAAACTAAGCTGGGCAGAGATGAGGATGTTTATTCTTAAAAAAGCCAAACTCACAAACAACCAAACAAAAAGGGGGGGGCACCATTTCCATTCACTTTCTTCACCTCCACAAAAATTTAAACATGTCACTCTATTTAGGATATTTTAACTTCTTTAAATAAAACAGGTTCCTCATCTAGAAAGTATTTGAACATTTTGCTCAAGTACCTATAAGCACACTGTCACGATTTACAGAGGTTAATTCAGGAAGAATTAAATCACAAAGGTTTTGCACAAAAAAAGTTGTCCACAAAGCAATGTGGACTTTGGAAGTAAATGTGAATAAAAGCACTCAGCTGCTGATTGTGATGGCAATCCCCTTCTGTGGCTGTAAGGCACTGTGACCTCTGGGCAGAATGCAGGGGGTGTGTGTTATGTCAGATGTGTAAAATTTCAATAATTGTCTGTTGCAAGAATCCCCCTCACTCCATCCTGTGCTCTCAGTGACACTCATTATTATGCACCAACTGGCACAAACCCAAGATTTGTTACTTAAGACTTCACACAAATAAATAGTAACAAGAAAATTAACTGGTCTGTTATTTTAGTATGCCACTTCAGATAATATAAGAAAATATGCCAAAATCCATGAAGTATCATTTGTTCAAAACTGATTTTAAATACGTTGTCAACATTAGACAAATTATTACTGTCAACAGATATTCAGATTCTTACTTTCATCAGTGATTTTTTCAGTTTGATCACATTCTCTTGTTACTGAAGTGAATTCAGTTTTCCTTTTGATTTTATAATATAATGATTTTTTTCACATAGCAGATATCTTTCAATTTAAAACAACTCAGATTTTAACAGAAGCAGGAGTTTTTACAGTTACTTTACAAATGTGAAGGTGAATTCAATGCATGTGCAGGTCTGCAGAAGTCAACAGTTACATCAATAAAAATTTGATCTCCATATGCAAGAACGTACCACCATAATCAAATACACTTTAATTTGGGGCACACCTTGGGAAAAATTCTCCTCCTACTACATTATACAAGTGTGGGAGAAAAAATCCTGAAGTTTTGACATCATATATATCTACAATTAACAAGTCATAAAATCCACAGTACAGCTGTGTGCACTGCATAAAGTGTGTTTCCAAAAAATTAAATTTTAAAATAATTTAAATAAAAATTAAAACAAAATTTGAAAGTAAATTTGGAGGAGCACAATTCAATTAGAAATTCTCTATACTATGTCAAATACAAGTCTTGTACCTTTTCTCTTTTTCCTTTTCTTTTTTAATATATACATTGCTTGGTATATCAGATTACTGCTATGAGCCAAAGATTCCACTTGCTGTGTAAACTATAAAATACTAAGGAATATATAGAAAGGTTTTTTTGGGAAGACCTGACATAGAATAGCTTACTCTTGTGAATGACCTCTTGCAATATTTTTCTTCGTGTGTATATTTTATACAGATACAGAAACATGATACACGTGTTAATGAGTTAAGAACTTTTTATTTTATGGCATGTGTATTAGTCACATCTAAAATTACATTAACTGGCATTCAGAGGACTGCACACTATGTTTCTTTCTTTACTTCATCCAAGTATTAATGATTCCAACAACTACCTCATGACACCCTGTGGAATACTTAAGCAATTGCACTTTTCAGCTTCACCAAAACAAATTCTCAAGTAAAAGGGAAATAAAACAGGAGAGTGAATATTGATTACATGTTCTTTGAAACAAAGTTAAGATCTGGTCCTTTACTATCATCAGCTTGACCTACCAATTCTAGGCACCCTAAATTAAAGTACTTATTTCCCATGCACAGTGCTTATCTGAATTCCACAGCATTTACACGATTTCCTTCCTCTTAAAACTAATTGAAAATATGAGCCAACCCTTAACCAAGAAAACATGTTCTAAAATTATTCAGCATTTACAAAATTCTTTCCTCAGAGGTAAAAGAGAACAGGCAGCAAATTAAAAACATCCCCATTGAATCACAACTGCTTTAAAATAAGTCACTCAATACATACTCCATAGATAAAATAAAAGGAAAGGATCTAATTATTCTTCTATTTGTGCTGTATAAACCTGAAGGAAATACTTTGATGGGAACAGGACCACACTGGGGTACACTAAAGTAGAATCAGTACCAGGGAGTATTTGTTCTTTGGGATGGGCACAGGATTAGCCAAGACTTACTGATGCAGACAAGACTTTATGACCAGTTAATCACAGAGTTCTCTCAACAAGATTACAGGAGACAAAGAGATTGAGAGGTCTCACATGTTAGAGTCTTGGAACACAAGATAATATTTAGTTCTTCCTGAGATTTTTTAAACCCAGAAACAACAAACCCTCTGGTAACCTCTGTCATTCTCCAACACTCATATATATATATATATATATATTTGGGTACATGCATTTATGTAAGAATACAATTCTATTATTGAATAATGACTTTTGAGCATGCCTGAATTCAGTTTATGGCAAGGACTGTCAAGACCATCTTAATCCTCAAGTACTTCTTTTTTCTGATAGGAAGTTAGTCACTGTGAAGTTTTGTCAACATCTATTTCTTACCTCTGTAAACTGTCATGTCCCTGTGCCAGGATGAAAACAAAGTGCTCTATTCTTTCTGCATTTTAGAAAGTGTGTATATTCCCAGGGCTTAACCCAGACTTTATTCCTTCTTTCAAAACAATACCCTTACAGATAAATGTCTTTCCTATGAGGCATCCTGTCAATAAACCTCAAGTGCTAATCTTGTCACCTTTTGCCGACAGTCTCAGGAATGCTTATTAAATACTCAAGGGATTAAATTAAATCTCACCCACAGACAGGCTTTGAAAGTCTCCAGTAACCCAAGTTCTCAAAAGAAAACTCCCTTCATTGTCAAAATTAAGGTACTGTACTATTGAACTTGCAAGAAAATTATATAATCAAAGAAAATGTTCCATGCTGTAAAAATTTGCCTTCAGAGCTATGCATTAAAGTATAAGAGAATTTAAGAACCTGGAAGCGAGAAATTATCTAAGATTTCTTGGTCCTAGCTAACAAAAGCATAAAGGCATACCTTTAAACTTGGTGCTAGTACTAGCAGCAAGTACTTCCCTCTTTTCTCTGTATTTGAGTTTTAAATAACTCAGACAATAAGTATTTTGTATCAATGGGGTTTTTTACTCCAAAAGCTCATTTTCTAAACTTCTACAGGCAGAAGTCTCTGAAATTTTTGTCATATTGAAGTGCAGACCATGTCAATTCCAGTGAAGTAGATCAATAACGTAAGTTTAGTTTTATATAAATTTAAAATTGAAACCTAGGAAACAGAATTTTTGTATGTATCATTTGCATGAATTACCAAAAAAGTCTTTGTATTTTAAGAAATTAAATTCTACTAAAACATTTTCCAAGTACTCTTACAGTCAACTCTAAACAAGAAAAAGGGATTTAATAAGCAGCATTCATCCAACATGAGCATTATCTATGACTACTTTTAAACTTAGCATTCATTTTCAGACTTTAGCTTCTGCCTTATAGACACAGATAGCAAAAGACAAAAGAAATGTAACTATTAATCAAAACAGAAAAAAAACAAGCATAGTTCAAACATAAAACTAAATGGCTACTTACACATAATTTATTTTTATTAGTAAGACTCGGTAAATGTTCTGGCTCATATGGTCCTTTTCAGAAGCATCTCAGGATGTCCCAGAACATGAAACCAGCTTTGGTAGTGACTCAGCAAAACAGATGTCTACAGACATCCCAACATCTCCTTATGGTGTCTGTGGATGTGTGCATGCTTAATTTGTAATGAAACAACCAGAAAAAACAAAATTATTTCACTCTACCATGACTGTAAAAATATTACTATGTGAGTAGTAATAATAGACTTAATACAGAGGTATAGTTTTTGGAGAGTATTATTGATATTTAGCAATATTTTTACCCAATGGTGCACAGTTATTAAATATCACATCAGGCAAAATATTTGAAAATTAACAGGCTCTACAGCAGCTGTTTAAAGTTTCAGCCTATAGAGTGAGAGGGGAAATTTTCCTTAGAATCACAATACTGCCTAAATGTAATTCTTACTTTAAACAGAATTTCCAATAACAAAATTAACCCATTGAAGGACAAATTCTGCTTCAACAGTTTGACATTGCAGATTGCCTTTGGACTTGAATGAGACTGCCCCAAAAGTGCTTCCTCAACCAGTGCCAGTAACATTCACTTTTTCTTTAAGTAGGTAGATGGAAAAGCATTAACTGAGAATATTTTTTCAGAAGTAAAATCTTACATGCTTTTAGACTGCAAAAATTAAAATAAATTCTATGTTAAAAAATTCTCCTATAGTACAAAAATCCTTAAAATATTATAAAATAGGAGGTTGCTGCTTGCAGCTGAATATGTTCATCTGGAAATGTAACTGGAAAAAAACTTGTTAATCTTATAATGACATGATAAAATACTCTTGGATTCCATAAGCAGATCCAATATCCACTAAAGTGCTTGATTAGGTCTCACAAG